CACATCAGGAGCTGGTGTGTTGTCAACGTTGTCGCTATCGAGGCGAGTTGGTTGTTCTTCTGTCATCGTTTCTTGAATGAGCTTGCTGCGGTTTGAGTGTAAGATTAATCCGACCCCCCCCCTCCTTTTAGCGCTAAACTGTGGGAACCAAAATTCACCACTGTCGATTTTACGTAAATTTAGGAACTTAGGAAAACCCTAATTTCCCAGAGGACCCGGCTATCTGCGGAACCAAACACAAGTAATCAAGTAAACAATGATAAAAATAAAAAGATGTAAAAAACGAGATTTGAGAGCAAGAAGGAGTCTTATTCCGAATTTGCGTAAGAATGGTGCAATAAGAGTACGTCGGCGAGATTCCTAGTTCTAGCAACCTAAGACTAAAACCCTAGTTGAGACGCAGCTCGATAACAAAAACGGAAAGTTGCCTAAATGCTAAGTTTTGGAGGTGAAAGCTATAAAATCGTGTCCTTGTGATCTTTCCTTGGCCTTCTGCTTATATACTCCCTCCTTAGGCGGTTTAGTCCTTCCTTTTCGCCCAGATTCGAGTTTATCGAGAAGCTTCCATTTATCTCGATCTTTCTATTTTCCTTTGGGAAATCTTCTATTTATCTTCAAACTTGACATTTATTTTCAAACGTGACATTTATCTTCTTTCTTCGAGTAAATCGTCAAACCATCATTGTATCTTTGGGCTGGATTTCGTTTAAAGTCGCAAGTAGGCTTTTATCGCGCTTTAGGGCTGTCTAAGCCGTTTTGCGCTAAAAACCGTTTTCCGATTTTAGACAAGATCGTTTTCTGATACGATGCCGTTTTTATAAGATTTCTCGAGTTAATTGTATAGTTTGACAATGTACGATGTTTCATCTAATCGTTGCTGTTTTATACGATCTTCCCGAACTTTACGAGAAAAGAAGACTTTTACGATTTTTATCGTAAAACTTGAACGGTGAGACGGATCGAGACGAAATGAGAGAAGTTTCGACCATGGTTCAGGGCATGATCGAATCGAAGGACGTATGCCTTACGTCAAGGATGCAGGAGATCGAGGCTCGGGACGGTCAGCTTGACGTATGGCGAGCTGGTCCGGGACGAACCAGTTCGCCGTACGACAAGTTGAATCGGCTGGTTCGGCTCGTCGTACGTTGAACTGGTTCCATCAAACCTACTCGTGATTTACGGTGGATGCGGTTTTTTGCGGTTTTTCGTTAATCTTGGGAAATTGTGTAATCGGCGATTGTTTCGTTCGTTCTTCCGAGATGACGATCTCCAAGTTTTCCGCGGATTTATTTTGTTCGGAAAATCCTTAGAAGTTTATAAAACAACTTCTCGTGTTATATAAAACATATCTTTATTTTTGCGGAGACTTTTAGCCATTGATTCCGTCATGACCGATTTTGACACCAACACTCGTCTTCTTCCACGACATAATTTCGACCACTTCCTCGTCCTCTCCAATTATCATAACTAGATGATACAACATTTTATTCGGGGAATGGAACAAATCTAATGGGACGAGCGTGATGGTTTAAAGTCATGAGTTGATTATTCTGCTCTACTACAAGGAGGACTTGCATCAACTCTGAGTAATGGGTATATCCATTCGACCAGTATTGTTGCTGCAGAACTACATTTCCAGGATGGAACGTGGAGATAATTTTCTCGATCATATCATATTATTTTATCTCCACATAACATTATCCTAGATTTAATTTCGAACATCGTAGAATTATAATCACTAACACTTTTGTAATCCTGGAACTGGAGATGAATCCCCTCGTGTTTAGCCTTCGGTAAGATCACATAATTTTGGTGATCGAACCTTTCTTTTAAAGATTTCCAGAGGTCACCATGATCCTTTCGTAATATATTCATCTTATAAAACATCATGTATGTGGTGTCGTAAAAGTATCATGGCTTTAGTCTTTTTCTCCTCCGAAAACGTTTTTGAACTATCGATGATTTCCAAAAGTCTGTTTCCTCTCAGGTGCATAACACTGTCCAGATCATATAATTATTTTCCTTAATATACAGCGCATTTATTTCGAGCTTTTTTCAAATTCAACATGATAACTGTATTTTTAAAATAATATATAAAAATATAATAAAGATGGGAATTTAAATGCAAAAAATAAAGGCATAAATTTAAATTGCAAAAATTTTAAGAGCATTAATAAAATTGGAGGCTTACTCTTCCACATGATACGAAGAGACAAAGTCTACCATGTTGATCATTTTTAGGTTCTATGAGATTTAGTCTATCATATTAACCTTTTTTTTTTTTTTTTAAGGTTCGAGAACACTTAGTCTACCATTTTTGACATTTTCTTTTTATTCAAGATTCATGGCGACATAGTCATCCATTATGATCTTTTCTTTATTCTTGGAGGTAAGGTCTACCATGTGTTTATTTGACCATGAAGACATAGTCTATCTTAACAAGCAGTCGGAAAAGACAACGCCTATTATCCCAAAAGATAAAACGGAGAAGGTTTAACCTTTCACTCCGAAACAGTAATAAAATTAATATAATAAAAATATTGAAAGACATAAATTAAACTTCACACCAATCCTAGAACTTTGTTTAGAAATTGGTATAATAATTTCGTATTGATAACGTGTTGTAAATTTGGTGAGATATAAATTTATATATATATATATATATATATATATATATATATATATATATATATATTATTGTTCGTATGTGTGTGATTTGGACAACGAGAAAGTGAGAAGAGAGATTGAATAAATATATTTCCTTGTATTGGTGGTATACGAGAAAGAGAGAGAATTAGCAATTGAACTTGCTTTCTTTATTATCATTCTCATGTCCTATTTATACTACAGCCAGTCAAAAAGTGTTGAGAAAATTTCACCTAAAGACACATTTTCTCTTTTCAATTACACTAAGAATCATATGTCACTTAAGATACACTTTATGCTTGTGATTTATCTTTTTTACCCTCAACTACATTTTCTATCTCTTGACAAAAGGTTACTAAAATAAAAAAATTTAAAAGATACCATCGAAACTGTAAATCACATGCTCTTCTTTTCGTTTTAGCTCAAACATCACTTTACCAAATCCTCACACATTACCATCCTACTCGTGTCTGAGTAAAGGTTTAACAATTATTAGTGGTTAGCCGAAGAATAATAATAGTAAGATAATGGGAACATGATGAAATTCATGATTGAATCTCAAATCCCTGAATTGTTTCTTCTTCTTATTCATATTATGTATATAGATTTTGATTGAAAATTCAACATTTTAGCCATGAAAAAATTAAACCAATGACCCATCCATCAAATTTTTATTCATCAATAATATTTACGGGATTGTTGAGAAGTTCTGGAACCGCCGTCACCGGAGCTATGGGTCAGGTGACTAAGCTCCATCGTCACCGAATCTATGGTCACACAGTTGAAACCCAAACTCATCTTCCCCCAGATTTGAAGTTTCGTCATCAACGAGTCGGCTCGTCTTTAATGTGCGGTTGTCGTCACCATCACACCACGATCTCCTCTCGCGGTGGGTATACTCCTCTACAATACAAACTACGGCGGAGCAACTGTTGAGAAGCTCTGGACCGTTGTCTCTTCGATCCAATCAATCACGACCTCCACCATGATTTGCTTGATCCAAGGTTGCTCTACTAGTCAGCTTGTCCAAGATGTCTCTTTGTGTTCTCGGTTCACCAGATCTTCAGTTTTTGATTTCTTCATGACATCCACGATTATGGTGTCCATGGTTCTGTTGTCCATAATTTTTTGATCCACAAATTTTCCGGCGATGTCTTCTTTTCTTTGTAACCACACGTTTGTATTTTTCAAATCCAAAACAAAACTTATCATAATACTATAACTAAAATATTTCTTACAATTATAAAGGGTATTTTTTTTCATAAAGAGCTTTGGGATATGAAAATGTGCTCCTCTAGTACATTGTGTCTCTGAGTGTAGACAAACTCAATAAAATGATCCATCATGTAATGCACTCGAAGATGACTCACATTTATAATTATTTATAATTAAAAACATTAGAACATGTGATGATCACACGTAAAAAATATATCATATCCTATCGCTTTTAGTTCTTTTTATTACAAATTTCTGAACATGAATTCATACAACCCACAGCTTTCTCCATATCTGTCCATGACACAACCACAAAAACATTAAAGATATATATATATATATATATATATATATATGGAGAATCATAATATCATATTTCTTAGAAATTATTTACCAAATGATTTTGACACATATCTTTTCTAAAATTACTTTCTTTAAAAAAATGACATGTCATGATATAAATGATGACATTGCTTATGTTTAATGTGACATGGACAATTAAATTTAGTTATTTATATTTTTGATAATTTTTTTGAATATGGTAGTAAATTTATATATCATATTAAAATAAACCTATTCAAATTATATTACATAATATAATAACAGGAATATTATAATATTTTCTAAATTTCAAATGATTATTTTTTATTTTTTTATAATTATACAATTTTATCAATTAAAAAGTTTCAATTATTTTTACAATTAAAAAACTATTAATTTTTAATCTCAACACCATTAGTTTCTTTAATATTTTTACAAGGTTTAGAAATATTGTTTAGTTTCAGTTTTTGATAATTAAACAATTTTTTATTAATCTATACAGGTTGATTTAATATGCTTGATCCAAATGAAATAGATAAAAAAATCTATATAAAATTGCAATTTTAAATATAATTAAACTGTTCTTAAATATAATATAAAATAAACAGAATTCTTTATTTTACCTAAATTTTATATTCAGTTAAATCAAAATTTAGATTAACATATGAGTAGGAAAATAATAAAATATAAAATACTAATTAAAAATAATTTTAAATATAATTTTTTTTAAAATTTCTACACATGGTATAGAAAAACACTTAATAAAAATATAAAAACCAAGTCAGTATCAGCTAGAATAAAAGAAAGGATAAACTTACTTTGATTTTCAGTAGGAGCACAACGTTGATTAACACAACCCACATAGCAGATATGGTTGATTGTGTCTTCTTTTACATCAGGAGGTAGACCACATTCCTTAACACATTTTTTGGCACATTTTTTTGAGTTTAGAAGATTACGTGGATCACTAAGACACAATTCGTAACATTTAAAATAGCATAATGCACGCGTTATTGGATCATCCGCGAACACCGATTCAGTTAGATGGTTTCCAATCATTAACATCATCGCTACCAATACGACCATTTTTGTGTTCTCCATGTCTTTGAGGATTTTTCTTCTGTAGAGAAAGTGATTGTTTCATTGGTAAAAAAAGTGTATTATTTATATATGAATTGTGATATGTATCATATATTTTTTCGTTCAAAATTTTTTTTTTTGTAATATGTATCATATTATACTAGTTAGAAATTATCCAAAAGATTCTTAATTCATAAAGGAAACTGATCTCCAATAGTTACCTAGTATACCTAATATTTGACCAAAAAACAAAAGATAATATACCCAATATATGACAGATTGTGTATACCATCTTTTGTTTTTCTTTTGTCAAAGATTAGGTGGACTATCTAACAATTGGAGATATGTTTCCTACTATATGAGTTATGAATCTTTTGGATAAGTCCTAAATAGTTTTATATAAGATCTGTCATATTTAAATTTTCTTCATTGTAAATTTTCAATACTAACTTGTATATATGTTTAGTGTAACTTACAAATTAATAATCATTTTGATAAGTTCTAAATAGTTTTAGATAAAATTTAACATAATTAAATCTACAAAAGAGAAAATCTTATACAATAAAATTGGGTTTTCTCCCTTCTTAAGGTATACACATCAGCAATTAGGAGGGGGCAAAAAATGACATGTCAGCAATTACTTTTCCAAATTATACCGGCCAAAATTATGCTCTCCCGTGTTGGTTTGCTTCGGCTGATGTTGGGCTCGGTTCTTTGCTTGATTGAGGGCCCATTAAATTTTAGGTTTTCATTTTTGCTTTCCTTGCCTTCAGACTCGCTTCCTCCCCGATAGCGCCGCAAGAACACGTTCTCTACAAACGTAACCGCTCCGATTCCCATTAATATTTTCTTTACTCTAGCCTTATGATCCTTAGCACAGTGATCGATTATAAATATCCAAATTTCGACGATGAACACCACAACTCAAACGAGATCCAGAATGACAGTTTGTTCTAATGGGTTTCCTGAGATTCTGGGAGGTGAAAAATTTGAAAAAGACGGCGAGCTAATGGGTTTGGACATGCTCCTCCTTGAAAAGAAAGGTAATCACCACAGTCTCCTATCAACGCTTATACGAAATTTCTATTTACCAGTCTTAATATTTAGTCCTCAGGATTCTGCTTATGGAGACCTTTTCAGTGAAGGTTCAGTTTAACGTACGTGACATCAAGTGTTTTGATAGCTCAAGTCTTTTTCTAAGATACATGGTAAATGCTTCAGTTATTTCGAGTTCTGTTACAGATTTAGGAATAGAACTTTATTATATCTTCTTAATTACATCTTATTCGACTCCGCTTTCTTACCACCGTTTGGTTCACGTATATCTTTGTTATGGTTTCTAGCAGACGCAGTACAAATCTATGCTTCAGTGAGAAACTTTTCCTGCAATCACTTTACAACGTAAGAAATAACCATTTTTATAAGTATTTTCAATGGAGTTTCCACAATTGTTGTCTTTCTCTGCAGGTTGTGATCTCTCTATCAGAAATAAATCCTCTAATCATATACCTCAGAAACGTTGAAAAGCTACTTGAGTCAGGAAGATTCACTTTTGTTTAAAGCATCAAACTTTGGGTTTTGTGGTTACCCTCCTTAGCTTTCACAGCAGCGTAGATGAGAGCTGGTGCCGTTAGAACTGCTAGACAAACTGTGCAAGACTGGCGGCGCAGCTTCAAAATCTGAAGCACTGAAAGTATAAAATCTTATCTACGAACCATATGTTTAAGTCTTCTTCTTGTCCTTTTGTATCAAAGCTTTAGTTAGAATTGCTACTTTTGCCTTTTTCAGGAAGAAGTATTAGCAAGGGGCCTTCTCGAAGACAATCCCTTGGCGCAGTTGATATATACGCAAACGAACGGCTTCTTCACCACTTATCTTTTCTTCCAAGGCCACTAAAGCTATTGTACGTTAAGTTTCTCATTTTATTTCTTGTGGTTGACATATGCCTAGATTAATCTCACTTTCTATCTTGCAAAATTATTGATTTAGTTGATTTGATGCATTTTACAATTCCGCTCTTTTTTTTTTTACGATTATGTGGCTGTTTATAAAGATTTGTTGCATTTTATGATTATGTTTCTTACTTTGATTTCTTTGTTTGTGTATATTGTCAGTATGATTTGTTCATCATTTGATTAATGTTGATTTGTATTGCCTTATTTGTGTTGTAGGTTTAGTAGATTTCCATGTCTCTTCCTGTTTGATTTTTAGCTTCCCATTTTACATGTCTTAATCTCTGTTGATTTCTGATTATATGAAACTGGATTTGAAATATTTTCTGTTGGTAAATCAAATTGGCAACTGATCTGGGTTTCTAAGATCTGATTCACTGTTTGAGTTTGTGTTTTCGCTGGAGCAAATGTGGAATCTTTGGAAGATTAGGGAATGACCACTAGCTGATGGACTTGTGAGCTTAGAAGAACTTGGATGGCTAAGGATTGATGTTGAAATTGATTTTTGTTATTAAGCTTCTTGCATGTTTTTCAGCCCTGAATCATTTACATCTGATAGTGATGCAGTGATGCTCCTGGAGCAGCATTGGCTGAGAAGAAGAGCAGGTCTTTGAAATGGATCTTAGCACAACCAAGCTGCAGAATCCAAAGTGGCAGAATTAGGTGTTGTATAATCCTGATTTTTTCCCTAAAACAGGATAATTTGATGGGTTGTGATTGTGTTAATAATAGACTGTTAAGTGTAAGTGATGCTCATTGCCCTTGGCTGTAAAATAACAAAACGTTTATTAGTATAGATACACCCCAGATTAATATACAACGCCTAGGATTTTATAATTATAAAACTTATTATTAAACGTTAACTTTATATATACCTTACTTATATGTGAACTCTAATCCTTAATTTTCAAACTTCAAGCCCTAAATATTAACATACTATTTTTTTAATATAATTATTAAAATAAAGCATATGATATGTTTTACAAATCATGTTTTCAAAAAAAATTAAATTTCAAAATTAAAATAAACCAACTAAATAAAAAAAAACTAAAAACACTTAACTTAAAGTAATCATCAACTTAAAAATTCTATCTAAGATCACCGCACACGATGATCTGAGGCAATGTATTTTAGCATCTGAGGCAATGTATCTTAGCATCTGATATCTATTTGCAAGCTCATCTAACTGAAATATATATTTTGTAAACTTTTTTTTAATACATTAATAAATATAATAGGTCAACTATGAACCATATCTACCAAATGAAATTTATATCAATGTAAAAGAGAGCTGTGTAGAATATAAATACAATCAATTACCTTAGGTTAATGTTTCAGACAAAGAGCCAGCCACCACACTACCACAATTTTGTTATGTCGTTTATAAAAGAGAAGAAGCAACAAAAACATATGACGTTTTAAAAACTTTTTGACATGAGATTGACTATGCAGACAATTACGTATCATGATTTTCCTTCAAAAAAAAAAAAATTGTAACAACCACAGCTCTCCATTATTTACATTATAATAGACCAATAAAATGTTACAAATAAAACAAATGGCAATACAAACACCCACTGCAACTTAAGGTCTTTAAAGAGCAAAAAACATTCACATCTTCAAATTCTCCTTTTTCTCCCAACAAACATTGCCAAACTTTTGTACATAACCAGCATATTTTTTTGTGATCAGACGGTGAAAATATTTCTTTTTTAACAACAAAGTCTACGGACCCGACAGACCCTTCATTAATAGATGCACATGGTCGTAATAAGCAAAGCATCAACGTCTAGGCGAAAGCACCACACCTTCACATGCATGGAGGTGGTTACTAACCAGAACTATGCTAAACAATCACAAAACAGCTCGGTAAATCGTTTGACAATATTTTCGTTTTCAGAGGGTTGGAATGATGACCATGGTTACATGCGAAATGCGAGTATTGCATAACGATTACAAAAACATTTGATGCGATTCTTTTAGTTCAAGGTAAGGGATCTGCCTCCAATAACATTAACACACCAACCAGACTTTCTACAATAACCTTCAAAACACTTGATAGCCCGTACACCTAGGAAAGATCAAATATTCCTTTTGCAGGCATTTGTGTGTTTTGATTTATAACTATGTGAACCTAGGTACAACCAAATATTAGTCCTTAGCTGCCGCATCTCTGTTTTGGTGTTTATTCGATGAATGCGGTGAATTTTCTGCAGTCTTGTGGACATGTTCTTCTTGTCTCAAGTTGTTGGAGTTGTTTCTGGTTTAATCAAAACTGAATCTACAAAACACCTTTCATGTCTTACTAGCTAGCTTAAAAAATTGCATCTCCTTTCTACAGTGATATCTCTATAGAAAAAAGGACTAAACTTGATTTGATCTTTGGTCATTTTTCTTTTATTTTAAGCTAAAAATTTAAAATCCAACAACTTTTATGTACTACAACAATAACAGTTATTTTTAAAATTATGTTGGACACAGATAAAAAACAATGTCTCCTTCACAAAATCTATTTGCAAATGTCCTCGGACTGAAACATATATATTCTATTAACATCAAATTTATACAATACTTTAATAAACATAATAGTTCAACTATGAACCAAACACATCCACCATAATAGTTACTATTCCTTAGATGTAGAATCGGAACATAGTAATACAATACTTTTGTATCTACACAATTATCAAATACAACAAACACATTTCATAAAAAAATATATCAGGAAAAGCAAATACACGTGTGAATAACACAAATATCAAACAATCACACAAGATAATCACAAACCAGACACATGAATTTACATGTTTCTTTTGGAACATCAACTTTACTTTATATTTTAAGTTCAACTATAATTACTTTGGTGCAACTATCAGCTAATCGATCCTTGAAACCACTTATGCTATTCCTTTTTGACCTAAGCAACTTCAAAACAAGGTAATAAACTATATCACTAAACACCATCAAATGGATCAAAAACAATTTTTTCAAACTTATTAGAGAATAAAACATATGAACCCGGCGCGTAGCGCCGGAATACCACTAGTTTAAAATAAAGTGAAGATGAAC